CCGCCGGGGATGCAGGGGGGTCCCCGGCCGGGCTGCGAGTGCGACCCAGGTTTGTCCCGCCAGGCTGCGAGATGAACGTGCACCGGCGCTGTGTGCGCAGCGTGCCCTCGCTGTGCGGCGTGGACCACACCGAGCGCCGCGGCCGCCTGCAGCTGGAGATCCGGGCCCAGACCAACGAGGAGATCCACGTCACCGGTGAGGCCCCGCCCTTTGCAAGTGCCAGTCCCGGTTTGAGGGACCACGCCCACCGATGGCCCTGGCTCCACCTTTAGGGCGGGGCTCCACTGTGGCCACGCCCAATCCAGCCAGACAGCCCCGCCTCCATCCTAACCAAACCCCAGGGAGCCTTGATGTTGCGGGTGTCAGGGTCCCAGAGCGGGCCGTGAGAGGGTGAGGAAGGACCTGGTTCCAGGGGTCCGGTTTCCCACGGGGCAGGACCTGGCACAGACTCCTAAGTCCCAGTGAAGGAAAGGGCTCTGGCTGTGGTTTCTGGGAGTCGGGCTGGTTTGGAGAGGGCCTGGTGTCCTGTCTTCCGTCTCTGCCCAGGGAAGAGGTCTTTGGAGCGCTTTCGAGCGTGGCTCACTGGGGAGGCTGGGAACCCCTTCCTGGATCTCTGACAACAGCGACACTTACCTCCCCTTTCATGCTGCAGTGGGTGAGGCCCGAAACCTCATTCCTATGGACCCCAACGGTCTGTCTGACCCCTATGTCAAACTGAAGCTCATCCCAGACCCACGCAACCTGACCAAACAGAAGACCCGGACGGTGAAAGCCACACTGAATCCCGTGTGGAACGAGACCTTCGTATTGTGAGCTTGGATGCTGGGGAGGCTGTGGTGACTGGCACGGTGGCCCCTGGGTCTTCGAGGCCAGCACAGCCCCAGAGAGCAGCCGTGGGAGGTGTCAGGACCCAGGGAAAGTCCCCAGCACCAGCACGGCAGGAGCAAGGCAGGGAGAGAGAGTGGGGACACAGACACAGTAGAGAGACAGAGTCAAGAAACAGACTGAGGGTGAGCAGGCAGCTTGTGCTCAGGTCAGGTGGGGAGAGGGACCCGAAGAAGCAGGCTAGAGGGAGAAGGAGATGTGGGGGAGTCCAGAGCAGAGAAGGATGGGGCGGTGCAGGGAGGGGGACACAGCAAGGCCACTACCCTGGGGCAGGAGACCAGAGAGGAAGAGACCCTGAGCCGGGGCATAGCCGGAAGACAGACACGGTGGAGACGGAGGGCTGGGGGGAGAGGCGCAGGAAGAGAAGGGCCCCGGGATGCCCAGAGGGAGAGAGCTGTCCGAGAAAGACCTGTTGTGGGAGAGAAGGGCGCCTTGGAGAGGTGGGGAGGGCGGGAAGGGCCTCTCGGCAGCACCCAGGACGGGGCGGGGAGTCTGAGCCGGGCCCTCTTCCCGCAGCAACCTAAAGCCGGGGGATGTGGAGCGCAGGCTCAGCGTGGAGGTGTGGGACTGGGACCGGACTTCCCGCAATGACTTCATGGGGGCCATGTCCTTCGGGGTCTCGGAACTGCTCAAGGCGCCCGTGGACGGCTGGTGAGGAGCGGGGCTGGGGCTACAGCTGACCCATGTGGCTCCTCCGTCCTGTGCGGCCTGCTCCGGACGCCATCTTCCTTCTGCATCCGGAGTCCAGCTCTCCTCCCACAGCTTTCTCTTCTTTCTCCTCTCTCTCTCCCCGCTCCTCATCTCACTCTCTCTTTCTGTCTCTCTGTGTCTCTTTCCTCCTTTTGGGTGTCCCTGCCTTGTCCATGGGTGCCCCACTTCCCCCGTCCCTTCCCGGCCCTGGTCTCCGTGTGTATGTCAGGTACAAGTTACTGAACCAGGAGGAGGGTGAATATTACAATGTGCCGGTGGCAGATGCTGACAACTGCAGCCTCCTCCAGAAGTTTGAGGTACCAGACGGCTTCCCCAGGGGAGCCCAGCCCAGTCTCCCCAAGCTCAGAGCCTCACCCTCTGCCTGCTGGGTGCCCACTGGTCCTAGAACTGCAACTCCCAGAAGACCCTGAGGCTCCTTCCTCTGTTCACCTAGGGGGCTTTAGCCCCGGGGCCTGATGGGAACTGTAGTTCTCCATCCCGTGGCATGGGGCTATCAGGGCCCCGGGGCCCTGCTCTGGGCTATCTCTTACCTCTCTGGGGGCCCTGATTCTGGCTTTCTTCCCCTGCAGGCCTGTAACTACCCCTTGGAATTGTATGAGGTGAGCTAAGCCCAGGCAAAGGCACTCTCCCTGTCCCTCTCTCCACTTGTCCCTCCTCTGCCTTCTGCGTTCAATTCTGCACCCAGGCGGTGAGTGTGTACTTGCCACCAGGTCCATCTCGTGCTTGCTGAACAATTCCAGGGTTGCTGGGGTTGAATCTGACCCTCAGATGACCCCACCAAGACAGGAACATCCTGGCAGATACTTAAAATACAGGGCAAGGTGACCCAGGCCCTGAGGCAGCCTGGGGGTGGAGCAGGGAGGGTCTCCTGGACTTTTTACTACCTGTCTCTCTTGCTGAGACCTCTCTCCCCCATTCACTGTGCTGAACGAGGTTCCAGAGGTGCAGTATAAGCCAGGCCCTGCTCTGGAATCTGTGGGACGTTCCTTGGGGCACCTGACTGGGCTGTCAGAGCTGGGAAGCCTGATCTCATCTCATGCTGCATCCCACGCTCGCCCTCCTGTGCCTCTCTGGGGACAGCCACCCTGAGAGCCATGCTGAGGAAAACTATTTGCTGAAGCTGGGCGTGGTGGCACATGCCTGTAATCCTGGCACTTAGGAGGCTGAGGCAGGAGGATCGCTGTGAGTTCAAGACCAGCCTGAGCTACGTAGTGAGTTCAAGGTCTGTCTCAACTACATAGTGAAACCCTGTCTCAACACCCCCCAAAAAACACTGATTGCTGAGCACCCGTGTGCACACACAGGGCATAATTGTAGTCACTGCAGGCTTCTGTGGCACAGGGAACAAAATGAGAGAAATCCTCTATGTGGGGCTTACACTTGGAGGAAGACAGGAAGCAAAATAAATAAGCTTCCCTGGTACTGTGCATGACAATGTTTTAGAAGATGATAGCAAAAGGAGAAAAAGGAACATTAAGGAGAATATGGACTGCTACTGGGGGAAGGTTTTGAGGTATTTGTTTTGTTTGGAATTTTTTTTTTTCAGTACCAGGAATTGAACTGAGGACTTCGGGCCTGCCAGGCAGGCGCAGTGCCAGAGATAAATCTCCAGCCCTGGGTTTTATTTATTTATTTATTTTGAGACGGGTCTCACTATGTAGTCCAGGCTGGCCTCAATCTCACAGAGGTCCTACTGTCTCAGCCTCCCCAGTGCTGGGATGACACCACGCCCAGCTAGGTTTTGTGATTTTAAGTGCAGTAGGCAGAAAGGCTTCTCAGATAAGTGACTGTTGGGCGAGAGTCTGAGGAGGGGAGTGAGCTGCCAGGAACCAGCCCAGAAGGGGCAGGTGAGAGGGCCCTGAGGGTGAGGGCAGGCCTGGAGTGCAGAGGGACAAGGTGGGGGGCAGAGGAGGAAATGAATCAGAGGGCAGCAGGGCTGCGGGAGGTTTGGCTTTCCATCCCAGAGAGAGGAGGAACCAAGCAGACAGGTGGCTGGGAAGCAGCCCGAGAGGGCCCAGCTGAGGCTGAGCACAGCAAGCGCATCCTCTCCTGAGGCACCATCATCCATTCAGGACGCAGCAGCCCAAGTCGAATCCCTGGGGTGGTTGGTGCCATGGGGCCTCTGCAGGGCATGTAGGAGTGTGAGGGGTATCAGCTTAGGGCCTGGCTTCCCTGAAAAGGGGGCATTAGGTTGAGACCTGAAAGTCAGGAGTGAGCAGTGAGGATGACCAAGATTCAGTACCAACAGTGTGCAGGACCCATAATCCTGGCCCTGGGAGGCTGAGGCAGGAGGGTCACAAGCTCAAGGCCAGCCCAGGCAACTTAGCAATTTAGCAAGACTCTGTCTCAAAAACAAATCAATAAAAAACAAAAGGGGTTTGTAGTATAGCTTAGTACCCCACCCCCCAAAAAAAGTAAAGGAGAAAGAAAACAGGTATTCTGTTCTGAAGACAAAAAATTAAATACAAGCAAATGGCGCTGCATAAAATTTTTGTTGAATTCTATCTTTGGATTTTATTAATTAGTTCCTGTGTGTGTGTGTGTGTGTGTGTGTGTGTGTGTGTGTGTGTGTGTTTTGTTTGCTGTTTTGGGTACTGGGGATTGAATTTGAGTCCTTGTGCTTGTGAGGCAGGCAGTGGCTGCTCCACTGAGCTACATCCCAGGCCTTTCTTTTTTAGACAGGGTCTCACTGTGCAGCCCAGGCCTGGCTCGATTAGCCCCTCACCTGTGAGAAACACTGACGGGCCTGGGCTGTTTCTGTGGCGTTGTTCACCGCTGTCCTGCACAACCCAGCAGGCACTGAGCAACAGCACCAGAATGCACACCCTGCACCCGGCCTCGGTGGCAGACAGCAGCCATTCGGCCTCCGAGGCCCTGTTCCCTGAACTCAGCCACCGTGGCCAAGCCTGGGCTTGGTCACTGTGTCTTGAGAACAAAGCAGACCTCATCATAGTGAGCTTACGGGTGGGGTTAGCAGACAGCCATGGAGGGCAGTGGCATCACTGTGCCGCCAGGTGCTGTCCACGCAACAGAGGGGCCACCGGAGGCCACCGTGGCCCTGGGACTTGCTGGCAGCGCCTCGTCTCAGGCCCGCGCCCAGGTTGACACAGCTAGCAGACCTCAGAGGGGACCCTGCAGCCTGTTTACCAAACCCTCTGGGGTGAACTGCTTGGGATCCAGTTCCACTCTGCTCTGTGACTCTGGACAAATCACACAACCTCTCTGTGCCAGTTTGCTCTGCTGTGAAGAGGGGTGGCAGCCAGTTTCCCAGAGATGTCATAGTGACAGCTAGGTGTCAGGTAAGCAGTAAGGTCGGCCTGCGAGCAGTGCTGAAGCCAAGAGCAGGGCCTGCAGGCCAGTGGCTTCTGCTCTCTGTCCTCTCTGTCCCCGGGTCTGACTCCCCCGTCTCCCTTCTCACAGCGAGTGCGGATGGGCCCCTCGTCCTCCCCTGTCCCCTCCCCGTCCCCCAGCCCCACCGACTCCAAGCGCTGCTTCTTCGGGGCCAGCCCAGGACGCCTGCACATCTCCGACTTCAGCTTCCTCATGGTTCTGGGCAAAGGCAGCTTCGGGAAGGTTGGATTCTGGGATTCTGGGGCCAGGGGAGGATGTGGGTACAGTGTCTGGGGTTCTGGAGGACAGGATCCCTGAGGGGTGGACGTCGGGTCCCATGGCGGGACCATGTGCGCAGAGACCGACCCGCCGCCCGCTGGACCTCTCGCAGGTGATGCTGGCAGAGCGCAGAGGCTCCGACGAGCTCTACGCCATCAAGATCCTGAAGAAGGATGTGATCGTCCAGGACGACGACGTGGACTGCACCCTGGTGGAGAAACGTGTGCTGGCTCTGGGGGGCCGAGGTCCGGGCGGGCGGCCCCACTTCCTCACGCAGCTGCACTCCACCTTCCAGACGCCGGTGAGGGGCTTGGGAGCGTGGCCAGGGTGCAGGTCCTCTGGGGTGTGGTCGGCGGGCAGGCTCCCTGGCGGGCGTGGCTGCTCCGGGGGAGCTCTGAGGAGTGTGGCCAGGTGAAGGGGATGCGGAGTGCTGGGTCACCGTCTTGTATTCTTACGGAAGGACCGGACAGAAATGGCGCTACCCTAAAATTGCTGCAAGGAGCGAGGAGTCAGAAACCAGGGTTTGGGGGTGCGACTACTTCCAGGGATTTGGGATGGGTGCGACTGGCTTCCTAGATGGAAGTGATGGTAATGCAGGCATAGCCTGAGCGGCGGTGGCCACAGGTGGCTGGAATTCTGGGTACAGGAAGGCTTCGGTGTGCCCGGGGTCAGTGGCGTGGTCCCGCCTCCGCAGTTGGTTCTGGTGAGCAGGTGCAGCCAGGCGACGGCCGAGAGGGGTGACCCAGGGCTGTGGAGGTTCTGTGGGGCAGGGCGAGGCCCCAGGACACTCTTGTGGTGGGCGGGGTGGCCGGGGGGGAGTTCAGCCACCCCGGCCAGGTGCCCCTGCCTCTGAGCCCACTGGGTCCCCAGGACCGCCTGTATTTCGTGATGGAGTACGTCACCGGCGGCGACCTGATGTACCACATCCAGCAGCTGGGCAAGTTTAAGGAGCCCCACGCAGCGTGAGTCTCGGCCTGAGGGCAGGGAGGGCGAGGGGGCGGCCGGGTTCCACTCTGACCCCCGCTTCCTCCCGTTCCAGATTCTATGCCGCTGAGATAGCCATCGGCCTCTTCTTCCTTCACAACCAGGGCATCATCTACAGGTCAGCCTGGGCCTCCCGGGAGGGGAAGGGGCCGCGCAGGCAGGCTGGCGGCTCCACCGCTGAGCTCAGCCCCCTCGAAACCCTGCCAGGGACCTGAAACTGGACAACGTGATGCTGGACGCCGAGGGACACATCAAGATCACCGACTTCGGCATGTGCAAGGAGAACGTCTTCCCGGGGACCACGACCCGGACCTTCTGTGGGACCCCGGACTACATAGCCCCCGAGGTAGCCCTAGGCCCGCTCCGGTGGGAAGTGTGCAGGAATGCTGAGCAAGCAGGGGCCGGACTGCTAGGAGTGGCTATTTTTAGAGCACTCTGAGGGGGGGCCTGTCCCCCAAGAACGCCGTGCCCTCTGTGGAGGCTGGAGGGTGGGGCTTGTCTGGAGTATTCAGCTGCTCGAGAGCTCCCTGGTAAGTGTGGCAGGTGGTTCCGTGTGTGTGTTTGTGTGTGTGTGTGTGTGTGTGTGTGTGTGTGTGTGTCTGCAGCAGGTACATGTCTGCCATTTCAGCAGGGCCAGGCCAGTTCCCAGGGAAGTTTGGTGGCAGGTGCCACCCTTTGACTGTTTTCAGTGGGCAGAGAATTGCTCTGGCTTTGCGGAGCTGGTGTTTGAGTGTACACAAAGACGGGTAATGCGTGCTCTTGACTTTCGTAAGTCAGAGAGCAAGTTGCCTGGGGGTGTCGTCCCTGGGCCTTTTATTTATTTATTTGTTTTTTAAAGGCAGGAAGGTATATTTTATTTTATTTTATTTTTGGTTTTTTTGAGACAGGGTCTCACTGTGTAGTTGAGACTGACCTGGAACTCACTATGTAGCCCAGGCTGGTCTTGAACTCACAGCGATCCTCCTGCCTCAGCCTCCGAGTGCTGGGATTAAAGGTGTGCGCCACCACGCCCGGTTTAGGAAGGTATATTTTAGTTCAGAGTTGTAGTTCATGGTGGGCTGGTTCCAAGGCAGGGCAGCATAACAGAGGGGCACTGCAGAGGAGAAATAGTCCATCGCGAGGCAGTAAGGAGGCAGCAGCAGCAGGCCTTCCTTTCCCTTTATATCTCATCCAGGCTGCCATAAAACTTTTTTTCCCTTCTGGTACCAGGGATTGAACTCAGGCTCTTTGTGCTTGCAAGGCAGGTGGCGGAATTACTGAGCTAAATCCCTGGCCTGGGCCTTTTTAGTTGATCAATGGTAGTGCCAAAATAATCAATGTCAGTGGTCATAAAACCTGGTAATAGACTCACCCTCAGAAACTTAGAAAATGACACATATATTTCTGTGACTCTGGATTATGGAGCCCAGGACTCTTTAGGGATAGGAACATCTATTTTTCAAAAAGTTCTGTGATTAAAAAAAAAAAAAAGCCAGCTGTGGCAGCACACACCTGTAATCCTAGCATTTAGGAGGCTGAGGCAGGAGGGTTGCCACAAGTTCTAGGACAGCCTGAACTACATAGCAAGACCTTGTCTAAAAATAAGCCCTTTGATGACCCTGCTGTTTGTTCAGGTTTAAGAATCTCTGGTCTCTGAGATGTATCCCCATGCCCAACTGCAAGGGAAGGTCCTGTTATGCAGATTCTAAGTGGGTGGAACTTGTGACTGGGTCCTTAAGTAGCTTTTGTATTTGAGGATAAAGAAACGTTCTATGTAGGCAAACTTTGTTTCCTGAATTTTCCAAAGGGCCGAGCTCTAGCCAGAATTGTCAGAGTGGGAAGAGTTTGTGTGAAAAGCACTTGGAGTGGGTAGGGGTCCTGGGTGTGAGGCCGGAGGGGCCGAGGTTTCTGAGGGAAAATCGTGACTCCTGGCGTCTACTCTTCTGCAGATCATTGCCTACCAGCCCTACGGGAAGTCCGTGGATTGGTGGTCCTTTGGGGTCCTGCTCTATGAAATGTTGGCAGGGCAGGTAAGGAGGACGGGAGGTGCTGGCTCTGGGAGGGGCCACCCCTCAACCCTCAAGAGCCTCAAGAGGGTTGAGCGCCCCTCTTCCGCGTCTTAGGCCAGGAGCAGCAGGATGAGGAGAGGCCCTGCTCAGAGGCCAGGTGCCGCTGTCCGCGGTCCTGAAGCCTTATCTTCCCACACCGCCTGGGGTTCTCAATCTTTATTGCTAGTGATTGGGCCAAACCTGTGAACTCCTTCTCAAAATAATGTTTCCATGTGCACAAAACAAAATAATAGAGTGACAGCCGGGCGTGGTGGCGCACGCCTGTAATCCCAGCAGTCGGGAGGCTGAGGCAGGAGGATCGCTGTGAGTTCAGGACCAGCCTGGGCTACATAGTGAGTTCCAGGTCAGTCTTAACTACACAGTGAGACCTTGTCAAAAAGCCAAAAAATAAATAAATAATAGAGTGAGAAAAGAAAGCAATCGTTGAAATATAGCTACCAAAACTTAAAGTCCAATTAGCCTATCTGAATATTAAAAGTTGGAAAATGGGAATATGTTCGGGTTCTTATGGGTCCATTGAACAATAAGCTGTAACAGTAAGATGAAGTAAAAAGGGAGGTCTAACAGGAATGATGATTTGAGGCTGGTGGCGGAACCTCTGAGCTAAATCCCAGGAACGATAATTTGAAATACCTGTGATTGCTGTTGGTGGTGAAGACACAAGTGCAGCTGTTGCAGTTTGTTGCCTACATTCTTTTTGTTTGCTTGTGTTTGAGGCAGTGTCTCAGGCTGTCCCTGAACTCTTTAATATAGCCCAGGCTTAGAACTCTTAGCAATCCTCCTGCCTCAGCCTCCCAAGTGCTGAGTTCACAGGTGTGCACTACTCCACCCCTGGCTTGTTGCCTACATTCTTTTTTTTTGTACCGGGGATCAAACTTGGGACCTAGTGCTTGTGGGTCAGGCAGCTGAACCACTGAGCTAAATCCCTGGCCCTGCCTACATTCTCAATTGGAGGAAATCTAACCTTCAGCTGGGGATTTAAACCAAGGAAGATGCCAGTTTTTCCCATCCAGTTGCACAGCTCCCTCAGGGATATGCACAGGCCTGTAAACCTCAGATTATGAATCTTTGCCCTTGTGAGCCTCTCCCTACCCCAGAGGATGGGAGCCACTGAGCTATTGCACAGAAGGAACTTCCGGTCTTTCCTGCAGTGTTCCTTTCTTCTGTTTAAGTGACACATTGTCTCATTAGCACCCTGTTGGTTTACACAGTGGATAAAGAGGGCCAGGCAGGATGAGGCATGGGAGACAGGCCTGGAGCCATGAAACCTTGCGGGTGTGGTCTGCTGTCTCCCAGAGCCATCAGTGTCAGCAGGGGATGGCCGAGCTGGTCCTCTTCCCAGTAGCATCCAGAGTGGGGGTTTGAGTCTCTGGATTTATTTGCTCCACTTCCACAGCCACCCTTTGACGGGGAGGACGAGGAGGAGCTATTTCAGGCCATCATGGAGCAGACAGTCACCTACCCCAAGTCGCTCTCCCGGGAAGCTGTGGCCATCTGCAAGGGGGTGAGAGCCCCAGCTCAGCCCCCCAATCACACACACTGTGTGGCCGGCTCTTCTGGGAAGTCTCCCTTCCTCAAGTCCCTCGGCTTGCATCTGTCAGACCGGTGACGGGACAGTAATTTTCCAGGCTGCCGCCGCCCTGTCCCCATCTGTGCCTCACTGCACAGGGGATGGTGGGGCCCGGGGGTGGTGGGGGTCTGGTAACCCTGAGTCCGACAGCCTGAGTTCCCGTGGGCTCCTGCTGTGGAGTTGCGGACTTAGCGCTGGGGACGGTTTGCGCACTTCTGCTGCAGCTCCGCGGCCGGCCCTCTGACTGCTGCTCTGGGTTTCTGTCTCGTGCCCGTCTCTGTCTACGCCCACTGGGCTTTGCTGTGTGCACCTCGTGCTGTCTGCTGTGTCTGTCCGTGCGTTGCCATCTGTCCTTTCCCTCTGGATCGCTGCTCCTCCTTTTCTCTGGGCGTCCAACCTTCTGTCTTCCTCCTATTCTTCCTTCCCTTTCTGGGATTTTCCCCATGTCTCCGTCCTCTCCCTGGGTTTCTCTGCCCCTCGCACCCTCGCACTTTGATTTTGTTATCTTTCTCTGCCCACTCCTGGTTCTCTGGCCCTGGAGTTCATCTCTCCCATTCCTGATCCACTCCCACATCCTCCTTCTTCCTCTCTTCCCCTCTCTGCTCTCCCTCCGGTCTTCGTGCCTGTGTTGCTCTGTCCCTCTGCCATTCTGTTGCTCCTTCTCTGTCCTCTGCGCTTCCCTGTCCGGGCCTCTGTCCGTCCCTCTGTCTCTCTCTCTCTCTGTCACCACAGTTTTTAACCAAACACCCAGGGAAGCGCCTGGGTTCTGGGCCTGACGGGGAACCCACAATCCGGGCGCACGGCTTTTTCCGCTGGATCGACTGGGACCGGCTGGAGCGGCTGGAGATCGCCCCTCCTTTCAGACCTCGCCCGGTCAGCCCCCCTCCACCCGCAAACCAGGTCCCGGAGGGGTGGGCCGGCCGGAGCATCAGAGCCATACCCAAGCAGGAGTGGGGTTCCCCCTGCGGAGACACCCTGAAGCGGGTGCAGAGACCACCCAGTCCCTAACCCTGAGATCTGGGGCAGACAGGGTGTGGAGCCAGGAGCCCTAACTTCTCTCCTGCGTGTCCTGCAGTGCGGCCGCAGCGGTGAGAATTTCGACAAGTTCTTCACGCGTGCGGCGCCGGCGCTGACGCCCCCAGACCGGCTGGTCCTGGCCAGCATCGACCAGGCGGATTTCCAGGGCTTCACCTACGTGAACCCCGACTTTGTGCACCCGGACGTGCGCAGCCCCACCAGCCCAGTGCCCGTGCCAGTCATGTAATGCCACCTGCGCCTGCTAGGTGCTCCCCTGTGCCCTCAGATCTAGATCCCGCCCGGCAGCGCTCTGGCCTCCGTCCATCCGTACGGGTTCTAGACTCCCCCATCACCTGGCCTCCTAAGCTCCATCCCGGCTCTAGAGCCGCCCTTGTTCTAGATCCCGCTGTGCTGAGCCCCAATGCATCTCCCGCCCGGCCTGAGGGGCTCTGGACTCTGTCCTCAGTGCCCGCCTCTTTCTCCCTCCCGCCCAGGGGAAGTAGCCCCACTGTTCTCAGCCAGCTTTTGTTCTAGACTCCTGTGCCGACCCACCACACCCAGACACCCCTGCCCGCGCATGGCTCCAGCCTCTCTGGGAACCTCCCCTCCCACCCCTCGCGGGCCTGCCGGCTCTGGGGGCTCCTGTGCCTCCCCCTTAGCCTCTCCCACCCACAGCTGCTGGAGAATAAATTTGGGATGCTGACGCTGAAGTGTTTGGATGTTTTCTTGTAAGCTTGGAGAGTGGAGGGGGAGCGGGGGTGGGACATTGACTACACAGAGACAAACAGAGAGGTGGGGTGCGAAGGGGGAGCGCTGAGACCACAGCGTGATGGGGGGGCGCGCCTCCCTCAACTTGGCAAATCAGAAATGTGCACTTAGACCACTGAAAATGTGAGAGGCCATGTTCACCTAGACGACGCAAGCACCCCTGACCAGCGGGCGCACACACACACACACACACACACACACGTACACGTACACCTGGAGACCCAGAGGTGAGAGTCCTGTGAAAGGACACTGGACAGTGGACCAAAGGAAGAGATCCCAGGACGGAAAAGCTCAAAGAACCAGAGCCGGGGAGCTAGGCCATAGCCAGCCAGGCAGAAGCTAGGTGCAACCTCCAGCCCCTTCTTCTTAGACCCTATTGGGAGTTGGGGGACCCGTGCAGACGGACTACGTTTCCCAGCGGCCATGACGGCAGCCCCTTCCTCCCAGGTGCAGCCCCTGGCCGCGGGGGCTGACGGGGAATGTAGTCCTCGGACTGGGTAGGCCGACGGAGTGCTGCCTGCCCGTGTGTGTCCGTGTGTGTGTCCGTGTGTGTGTGTG